TTTGTACATCAAGTTTTCCAGTTTATTAAATGAAATGTAAATTCTGTGATTTAGAACAGAAGATCCTGGCAGGGGTTGAAATACCGATTTTCTCAAAGCCGTTTGTTCTGAAGGAGGAATGTGGGAATCCTTGTCATCTTTTCATGGTAAGGCAGAGTTTTTAAAAAGCCTTGGAGAAAAATGATGTTTCTGAGCATACAGATTCTCAAGTTCTTTCTGGTGGTCATCCCACACACAGGTCAGTAATTTCACATGACCCCAACTGTTAGTATAAATAGCAGAAAAGCCTGAATTCTTTAGTTACAACCCAGCTTGTAACTGCGATGATTTTACTTGGCGTTACCATGCCTAGGCTGAGCCCTGCTGGTTTGTGCACAGGAATGAAAGAAGAAGGTGATCCAGAGTTTTTAAGACTGTAGACTCACTATCCTATCAGAAAATAAACAAACAAAGAAGCAAATGAATAAAATCAAGAAACAGAGAAGATATTTTACTGGCAATAACTTAAGACTTTAATCTACTCCAATTTGATAAATGGAGATCAGCATAGATTAATCATAGAATTGTTTAGGTTGGAAAAGACCTTTAAGATCATCAAGTCCAACCATTAACCTAACACTGCTATCCCACCACTAAACCATGTCCCTAGGCACCTTGTCTATCCTTATTTTAAATACCTCCAGGGATAGGGACTCGACCACCGCTCCCTGGGCAGCCTGTTCCAGTGCCTGACAACCCTTTCGGTGAAGCAATTTTTCCTAATGTCCAACCTAAACCTGCCCTGGCGCAACTTCAGACCATTTCCCCTCATCCTACCGCCCGTTACCAGGGAGAAGAGGCTGACCCCCACCTCACTACAGCCCCCTGTCAGGCAGTTGTAGAGGGCGATAAGGTCTCCCCTCAGCCTCCTCTTCTCCAGACTAAACAACCCCAGTTCCCTCAGCCACTCCTCATAAGACTTGTGCTCCAGACCTCTGACCAGCTTTGTTGCTCTCCTCTGGACATGTTCCAGCACCGCAATGTCTTTCTTGTACACAACGTATCTTCTGTGCCTAACTTAGTTAACAACCTAGAGATCTAGGATCTTAACATGCTCTGAATTTTCCCTTGGATAGCCTTGTGGCTGTATAAGAAGCCTCAACTCTCAAACCAGGTGCCTCTTTTAGCTACCTCAAGAGTCAGAAGATGACCCCTTGGTCTTTCAACATTTCAATGCATGAATTCCTTTATTTAAAAAAAATAAAGATATGGCATTCTTAAAGATGATTTGCCATAGTTTTTCCTCTGAACTACAGAGATGTCACAGACAATACAAGTGTGCAGAAAGATTACTGTGGTGGTGTCAAGGTATGTCACATCAGACAAGTATTAAGAATGACGACACTATTTCTTGCATGTTAAAGTATCAAAGGGCCTCAGTGCGATGCTTTATAATACTTCACAATGTATATTCATAAAATGTTTTCTGGAACTTAAATTAATGTATAACTATTTTTACCAGGTTTTAAGTTTTAGTTGTAAACCGACATTGCCGCAAGTGTAATTCTGACCCCCGAGGGCCTGTGCACAGTGCAGGGATCTGCTCATAGAGCTGGCACAATGGTTTTTTAAAAAGTAGCTAATGGGTGTGTTATAGAAACGTTATGTGTATGTAGATGGTCAAATTGTCAAGCAATAAAATTGCAACCATCCTAAATGCAAAGTTCAAAACTTACCATTTGCCTTGATTTTTGTTTATTAATCCTTGCAAGTGCTCGTTCCAGGTGATCCATTTTGGTGTATCACCCTTTGTACAAATATTTGACTAGCGCTTGGAAATTCTATGCTGTTCTTGGAAATTCTTGGGAATTCCAAGTTACATGCCCTGGTAACGACAGCATGTTCAGAATTTCAAGTGCAAATAATTGTTCTTCTATAAAAAGGGAGGGAGCTGGGAAACCGACATAAATATGTCAAATATTAAATTGGAAGGTGTTGTCGAGTCCACATTTATGATTTGATAAGCCATCTCAAGGATATCAGGTGATGTAGAAATGCAGAGGTCCCGTGCTCCACCTTGAACAGAAGGTATGCGAAGGAATGGTTGCAGAGGAAAAGAAGTCAATAAACATAAAAATGAAGACTATTTTCTCTGCTTTTGCAGAGTCTTACATTAGCTGTTGTCAGCATCCAGGTTTTATTTTAAAAGAAGATTTAGGTCCTGGGTGCTAAGGATACTTTTTCAGGGTCTTATTTTTATGCTTCCCTTCAGACACTGGAGTTCCTTAGGGTCCTCTCTTTATTAGTGAACTTTTTTGTGCCTCACTCCTTGTTCATACTGCAGAGCTTAATGAAAGGTACGACCCTTTGGCATTAAAGGGACACAACTGACTTGAAAAATCAAATCTGTCTGAAACTTTTGTGTCTTCTGTAGTTGCCGCATTTGAAGACTGAAGGAAATAGAAGGAAAGCATTGTTTCCTGGCTGTTTTCAAGAGACAATTTAAAGTATTTTTATAAGCAGTTGTTTTTATTGAGTTAACGAGGCCGATTTTTGTTGCAGAGATCTTTATCCCTGGAGGTATTTAAAAGACAGGCAGATGAGGTGCTTAGGGACATGGTTTAGTGGTGGGATGGCAGGGTTAGGTTAACAGTTGGACTTGATGATCTTCAAGGTCTTATCCAGCCTAAACAATTCTAGGATCCTATGATTCTACGATTTAGCAGAAGTATCATGAACTGAACTTTTCCCTTCATCACTGTCATTTTACCCCTCGAACTCGAAGGTTATCCTTTTAAGGTGTTTCTTTTCAGCAACTGAAAACCACGTCAGATGATCGGTAGTTTACGATGCTCACCTGGGACTTCGGAAACTTGTTTTATTGTTTCAGACAGGTCTCTTGTGCGGCATATGGCAAATCTCTTCCTAGGCCTCCATTCTGGTTGTAAAACAGCGTTTCCTGACCTCACAGGGATATGGGGGGTAAATATGCTGAGGCGTTCCCACGCCACGGCGATGGGGGCGAGACACACCACAAGTAATGGAGCTTAATTCCATTGCTAATGAGCATCTGCCGAGAGGGACTTGGGGGTGCTGGTGGATGAAAAGCTGGACATGAGCCGGCAATGTGCGCTGGCAGCCCAGAAGGCCAACCGTACTCCGGGCTGCATCAGGAGAAGCGTGGCCAGCAGGTCGAGGGAGGTGATTCTGCCCCTCTACTCTGCTCTGGTGGGGCCTCACCTGGAGCACTGCGTCCAGCTCTGGAGCCCTCAGCACAAGCAGGACATGGAAATGTTGGAGCGGGTCCAGAGTAGGGCCGCAAAAATGATCCGAGGGCTGGAGCACCTCTCCTATGAGGCCAGGCTGAGAGAGTTGGGCTTGTTCAGCCTGGAGAAGAGAAGGCTGCGGGGAGACCTGATTGCGGCCTTTCAGTACCTAAAGGGGGCCTATAGGAAAGATGGGGAAAATCTTTTTAGTAGGGCCAGCTGTGACAGGACAAGGGGTATTGGTTTTAAACTGAAGCAGGGTAGGTTTAGACTGGATATAGGGAAGAAATTCTTTACAATGAGAGTGGTGAAACACTGGAACAGGGTGTTCAGAGAGGTGGTGGAGGCCCCATCCCTGGGAACACTCCAGGCCAGGTTGGATGGGGCTCTGAGCAACCTGATCTGGTTAGCGGTGTCCCTGCTCCTGCGGGGGGGTTGGACCAGATGGCCTCTAGGGGTCCCTTCCAACCCAAAACATTCTATGACTCTATGATCTGCACTTTGCAGCTTGAGACCGCCTGATGAACCAACGATCTCGACGCAAGAAGGCGCTGGACACCCCACGCCCCGCGCCGCGGGCCTAGGGCCGCACGCCCGGAGCCTGGCGA